AACATTATGCTAAGTGAAATAAGTCAGTCAGAGAAAGACAAATACCATATGATCTCACTTATACATGGAATCTAAAAAACTGAAAAAATGAGAAATATAAACAGAAATAGTTCAAAGACACAGGAAAAACTGAGGGTTGCTAGTTGGAAGGGGGTGGGGATGAAATAGAAGGGGAAGGGACGAGACAATACAAATTGGTAACTACAGTATGGCCTCAGTGATAGAAAAGACAGACTGGGGAATATAATCAATAATGTCGTAAATATTTTTTAGGGGACCAGGTGGACTCATGTCTTGTTAGGGAGACCACTTCATAGTCCGTGTAGAGGCCTGACCACCGCACTATATTTCTGAAGTTGATGTTGAATAATATTATATGTCAACTATAATTATATATACATATAGTCACGGATGTGGAGTAGAGTATGGGAATTGAGTCAATGGAATTGTATAGATAAGTATGATATTGGGGGTGGGAGGGCAGTAGATGGGTTGTTTCTGTGTGAAGGGTGAAAAGGATAACTATTGCATTGTTCTATACACCTGAAACTAACAATAAAAAATAAAATAAATTTAAAAACCTTGGGACCAGCCAAGACCCACCACGCACTGTCTTCACAGGCACTTGGGCCATTTCCCTGCCTGGGGTCAGAAGATGGCCAGGTTGCTATTTGAAGAGATGAGGAAACTGCTTTTGCGAACTACCATGAAATAGGGTTGGAGGTGGGGACCCACACAGCTGGGCTCAGGAGGAAATAGTGCTGAGGATCTGGACCCATGGGGACTTTGGGTCAGGATGCCTTAGTTTTCAACTATTGAAGGGTGTGGGGGCTTGGACTCCTTGATTTGATAAAGGAGGGACTGGAGGCCTTGACTCCAGAGTCTGAAGTAAGAGGGCTTGGGGGCTAGATTCCTGGGTCTGAGGGAGGAGGGGCTGGGGGCCTGGACTCCTGGGTCTGAGGGAGTAGGGTCTGGGGTCCTGTGCTCTTGTTCTGAGGAAAGAGAGAGGACTCGGGTTTCTCTAAGCTGTTGAAAGTCTGAGGGTAGGCCCAGGCCTCGTTTAGCAAGGCCCTTCACTCCCCACCCCTTTCTTGGGCTGCACTGGGTGAGGCAAGATATTAAAGGGCACGGTTTCCTGGGAGAAACAGCAGAAGACAGAGAGTTCTAGCTGCCTTCACCATGATCTTTATCCTGCTGCCAACCCTCCTGGGTGTCACCCTCATGCTGCCCCGTGAGTGAAGACCTCAACTTGGGAGGGGATTTCCCTGGAGGATGGGCTAAGATGGATTTGGTGTTTCTATCTCAGGAATGCAGGCACTGACCTGTCAGTCGGGAACATTGATGTCTGTGGTGAATGCATCAACACTGCCCTTGCAGTGGACAGCTCCTGAGATTGAATGTGAGGATGGCTGGGGTTGCCAAGACATGCTGATGGTCATAGAGAATGGTGAGAACCCCCAAGCCTGACTCCCACTCTCCAGTGCAGAGATATACCTACCCCTGCCCAGTCCTACCTGCATTCTGTGTAGGGACTCAGAAGTCCCCCTCCCCTCATATTAGGAGCTGTCCCCTCCCCAGCAGAAACAACCCCTCAGGTGCCCAGTTACCTCCTCTCCAGCCTCTCACCCCAGCCAGGAAGCAGAACCCCCACCCTCCGTCCCAGGACCCTGTTGTCCCAATGGTCACCCTGGCCTGCCACCCTCTTTTGGCCCAGAACCCAAAGCACTCGTCGTGGCCATCAAGGGCTGTACCTTAGAAAAAGATCATGATGTCCGAGTCACCCAGCACAGGACAGGCCCTGGCCTCTCCATTGTCTCCTACACCCACGTGTGCCGTGAGAAGCTCTGCAACCTCCTCTCCACCACCCTTCCTGTCTGGACCTCGTCCCCCTCCACAGGTGTGCAGGGAGTGGGGAGAGGAAAGAGGCTAAGGGTGCAACGGGGTTGAGAGTTCAACAGAGCTGAGGGGAGGAGGGGGCAACGGGGCTGAGGGGCTGAGTTAGCACAGAGAACCTGTTTGCTTAGAACCTCTCCCTCTCACCTGGCCTGGCCACACTCCCCAGGACTGTGCCTTCCCCGCAGTGCAGCTTCTTCTAACAGTCCTGGGACAGCAAACTTGTCTGCTTTACTGATGCTCAGCCCTCCACCTCAGACCCTGGCGATAGCCCCAACCTGGGGCATGCTCTTTTCTCTATGATGTTGGGTTTGGGTCACTCATGTTTCATTTGTGGTTTTGGTATTTCCTCTTCCAAAGTGAAATTGGCCTGTAACTTTCCACTGTCCTTGTCTGGATCCTAAACCGGGTTTGGGGCGATGTTTTGTGTTGCTCTAATCTTTGGGGCATTTTGTCTGCTTTGACTATGTAGTGGAAGTTGCTGGCAAAATTGGCCCTGGTCCCTCCCAGGACACCCCACTTGTCTCAGTTCCTGGTGCCTTCCCCAGATCTCATGTTCCCTCCCTCCCTTGCTCTGTCAGTAGCCAAATGGTTCTAATTTCATGCACCCCAGGCCTACAGGAGAGGAGCCTGAGGAGGGCATGTTTGGGAAGACTGAGGAGGTTGGTCTGGGGACCAGCAGAAGCTGGGTGGGTAGAAGGCACCGAATCCAAATGCAGAGACTGCTCAGTCCCCCTTCCTCTTCCTCCTCCCCAGGTCCGGAGTCCTCTGTGCGGTGCCCAGTCTGCTTGTCTACGGAAGGCTGTGAATCTGCAACAGAGCTGAAATGTCCTGTTGGGCACACACACTGCTACAATGGGGTCCTCCAGCTCAAGGGAGGTGAGCTGGGACATCGAGGTCTGGTCGGGACACCAACGGCAGGGAGGGTCTGAGGACCAGATCTAAGGATGGGGAAGGCCCTCCACTCCTCACCCCTTTCCTGGACTGCCTGGGTGAGGCAAGATATAAAGGAGCAGGTTTCCTAAGAGAAAGAGCAGGAGGGAGAGAGTTGTCTGGGAGGAAGGCTAGCTGAAGCCTGGGACCTGGAGGAGGGTGGGCCTGGCTTCCCGGGGTTGGATGGTCCCAACCTCTTCCTCTCGCCTGCTCTGCCTCACCCGCTTCCACAGAGAACATCCTCACCAACGTGAGAGTCCAAGGATGCATGCCCCAAGCAGCCTGCGACCTGCTGAATCAGACTCAGAAAATCGGGCCCTTGTCTGTGAGGGAGAACTGTGATTCTAATGGTGAGTCCCCACCCAGAAGACAAGGCTGCGCCCTGCCCCATAGCCCTGGGGCACAATGACCCCTGTGAAAGTCGGACATCCAAACACATCCCACCAAGGCCAGTACCCAGAAGTAATTTAGAAGTTACTCACTCGGGTATGGGCAAAGTGAGAGATTCTCTGAATAGGAGCTTTGGGGTGAGGGTGCCCGCATAGGGTGTCCAGCTGAAGGGGAGAGAGCGGGCGCCTGGTCCAGAGGACAGATATCTAGGACAGGAACCCACTGGGATGTGTTTTAAATGACACTGAGACTGGCCAACTAAGTTAGGGCTGCCTGTGAGGGTGGGACGTGAGCTGGGCAGGGAGGAAGGTCAGAGGGGCACAGAGGGCTGGCGGCTTTGCATTCTGCTTAATCCATTGGGGGCGGAAGTGCGTGCAGGGGCATCCACTGCTGGGAGTGACTCAATGCTTTCAATTCTATATCTTCACACTCTTGAACTTGGATAGCCCTGGTCTCCCACCTCCCCTCAACCACCCCAGCAGCCGTGCTGCATAGGAGAGAAGACCAGAGAGAAAATCAAGGGTGCTTCAGGTGTGATGGGGAAAAGTAAGAACCAAGCGGAAAGATAGCAGGGTCTACACTTACCCACGTAAACCCAGCCCGACAGGAACACCCGGCAGATAGAGAGTGGCCTACAGCGTCTCAATGAGAAGCACCTCCATGGCACAGGAGACTGGGGACTCAGGGGAGTGAGGGAAGGGCCTTCCCTGTCCCAGCTTTGGTTTCCTCATCGGCCCATGGCACGCAGTCTTTAAAGTTTCAAGGAGAACAGTCAGTGAATTCGGCACATTCCTCTGTGTGCTCAGAACTCTCTGGCTGGACTGGGAGCCTGAGGACAGGGCCTGGATGTCATGGACACCAAGGTTTCCAGCCTCAGGCAGCACAATGGCTGACTCAGGGTGGGAAGTGAGTTTGTGCAGGATTCCAAGGTCTCCCATGGAGATCCCCAGGGAACTCAGACCCCATCCCTGCCCTAAAGGGCCTCCAGGATGGGAAAGGGAGTCATCACAGATGCAGATGGTCTGGGGGAGCTTATGGGGGAAGATATGATGTCCTGAGCTGGGACATCAAGGAGGGCTTCACAGAGGAGGTGACCTGAGAGCCATGTCCTAAAGATAAGCTGCAGTTTATTAGTAGAAGAGGACATTGATAAGCAGAAGAAGCAGCGTGTGTATAGGTCTGGAGCTGGGAACAAGCCTGCTGTTTTCAAGAAGTGTTCCTCAGCTCTGCCTGAGAAAGGCTCATCAGGAGGAAGGAGTGTAGGTGGGACTGGGGCGGATTACAAGTTTTCCAGGTAGACGAGGTGTGTGTGGGCAAGCAAGGGAGAATTGTTCCAAGCAGAAGGAATGGTTGCGCAAGGCCAGGAGGCAGGAAGTGACCTTGGGGCTGGATATGGGTGTGGGGGTAGAGAGAAAGGTGGGGAGCCTAGTGCAGGTCAAGTGGCCTCAAAACCACACTGAGGGGCTGGCCTTTCTCCTGAGGGTGGGGAGTGATGGAAGGGTGCTTGGTACGGAGCAACAGTCTGAGTCTCTTCTTTTGATCAATGCTGGTTAATTGTCAGGCCCTCATCTCTGGAACTAGGTAATATTCATCATCCAGGGGGCATTTCAGAAACAAATCAGATGTGACCCATGCCACGCACCATATCACACATCACATGCCACACACGCCTCAGTACGCCTGACACTACACATACCTGAAACCACACACAACACACAGACCACATACCACACATCTCATGTCACATACACCACACAAACCACACATGATAGACCATACACCACACACAAACAAAACATAAACACACAGAACACATATCATGCCACACCTGCACAACACACACATACCACATACATCACACACATGTACCACACATCACATGCTGCACACACACTGCATACACCATACAAACATATACCCATATCACACACTCCATACTCCCAAACACACACTACACACCCACTTTACCCACATACCACACACATATGCTACACAAACCACACACATGCCACACAAAACAAGCTACTCCGCCACGCCACAAATAAGTATTCTTAATACATAACCCTGTTCTGTTAGCTTCAACACTGGAGTCAGATCTTGGAGGATGTGTTTGCCCACCCTGCTTCAGTTCAGCAATTTAGCAAATATTTACTGAGCATCAGCAAGACCAGGAGTCAGAAGCTGAGGTACAACAAGATGTCATGCAGAGAGAAGGGCATTCCAGGGTGACAGACAGCTCTTGCAAAGGCATGGGGACTGGGAGTCAACTGGGTGCAAGAGCACAGATTGCCCAAACCAGGCCATGGCAGGAGCCTATTGAAGTAGAACCAAAGGGCTGGCACGTGAATGGCCTTGACTGCCCCCCTAAGGACTTGGGCAGTGGTCCCAGTGAGAGCAGTGGGTCTGCACAGCCAGGGAGAGCACAGCAGATAAAAGCGTAGTGTCTGGATCAGAAATGTGGCTTCCTGTCTGGGCTCTGCCACTGAGCCAATTTTGAAGGCTCTCCACCTCTTTAAGCCTTTTTGACCAAATTCAGGGAGGAGGGGGTGATTCCAGACAATCAGGAGCAGGGGAGCATATGCAAAGGCCCTGGGGTGGCTGTGTGCCTGCCCTGTGTTCAGGGAAGAGCCTAGAGGTTGTGTGTGGCTCCAGCAGTGTGATCAAAGGAGAGCAGGACAAGTGGACGGAAAGGCGGGGGCGGCCACATCACGTAAGGCCTTTGGGGCCAATTTAAGGGCTTCAGATTTTATTCTGAGTAGGGTGGAGATCCACTGGAGTCTTTTGAGCAGAGGAGTGACATGAATCGATTTACCTTTTATGAGGATCCTTCTGGCTGCTGGGTGGAGAATACAGTAAGGGGGAGGTAAGGGCAAGGGATGGAGGGCGGGAAGGGGAGGGCCCAGGGAGACACAGGAGGAAGCAGGTGAGAGCCAAGGGAGTCTTGGACCCTGGTGGAAGCAGTGGAGCTGACGAGGAGTGGTCCGCTTCTGGAGGTATTTGCAGCATAAGCCACCAGGATTTCCTGATGGGTGCAACACAGGCTGTAAGACAGCCAGCATTGTTAAGAACAACCGCAATGTTCTCAATTTGAGCAATCGCGAGAAAGGAGCTCCCACTGACCAAGATGGAGAAGGTGGGGGCGGGGAGAAGTGTGTGTGGCTGGGACAAGGGCGGCAGGAGGCAGACGTGGTCCTGCCAAGCGGGGGAATTAGCAGCCCTCCCTCCTGGGGCTGCAGTGACGTTCACACAAGGTGCTGGATGCCGTGTGGTCAACACGGGAGTTTCTGCGGCGTGGGACACATCCCTGCTGGTCATGCTCTCAGATCCCGGTTTTCTAACTGGACTCCTGAGGGCCTCAGAGGCCAAGGCAGCCAAGGATGGTCAACAACCACCGCCTTCCCCCACATTCAACCCAAGGAGCCCAGCTCTGCTAATTCTAGTGGTGGGGCATTGGGCAAGCTGCTTCGTGAGTCTTCTGCCTCCGTTTCTCATCTTGAAAACAAGGTGGGAGGGAGAGCAGAGGGGATAACACCACCTACACTGGGGGGTTGCTATAAGAAATCAGGTGACCCCGATGAGGGAGCTCCTTGGGAGACTTGAAAGGGCTAATCCATGGATGCAATCACGACAGTCAGGCATGTAGTAAGTGGTCAGTACACAAGTACACAGTAGGCGCTGGACTATTTTTGTTTGGAACATAGTGCTTTTCAGCTAAAAGAATGTATGGTGTCTATCTATCCCCTCATTATGCAGATGAGGAACTTGAGGTCCAACGAGGGAAGTAGAGATGGGCTCAGGCTGAGGAAGGGCCCTCTGGCTCCCCCACACCCCACGGGAGGAGCACCTTCCTCACAGGTCCCCACAGAAACTGGAGAAAATGGGGCTCAGGCTCAGGCTTCAAAGGTCCCTTCCAAGCCTGAGATTGAGGGACACTGTGCCCAGGTCACCTGGAGTGCGACTCAAGAACGTGATCACCATCCCAAGCATGGGACCTGGAGGGACAGTCATGGCTGCTTCCCTGGCTAACACAGACCTTGTTAATTTCTTCTCCTCAGCTTTTCTGACCTGTCAACAGGGGATCATGTTACAGACTAAGCCAAACCTGACTGAGAAACCCATCCAATGGAACGCATTGAGGAGCGTCATGTGTGATTTGGAGGAGGTGTGTCAGGAGACACTTCTGCTCATAGATGTAGGTGAGTGGGCTGTGCAAGATGGCCGGACCCCTGAGAGGGCTCCTGGGTCTCCTGTCCTGGATTGTGTCCCCTGAATTTCCTGTCTGATGTCTCCCATGCCTGGAGTTCTAAACCCAACTACCTCTTTGTGCACCTTGGTTTCCCCTTCTGAAAACTGGGGGGCAAGGTGCTAGCAGTAACAGTACCTACTTTGCTGGGGAGTCGTGACGACATATTCAATGATCCATGCAAAGAGGTGAGAACAGAGCTGGCGCAGAGTGACCTCAGTGACTTCATTCAGGGCTCATTGGGCACCGGTTGTATGCCAGGCTCTGTAGATCCCATGGCATCTGCCTTCCTGCAACTTTACGCACCAGTGGGGAAACAGGAAACAACAAATACAAAAGAGCAAGATATGGGCAGAAAGATATAAGCTATGGAGAGAAATTCAGCAGGGAAAGGAAAGAAGTGAATGTTGCAATTTGAAACCCAGAAGTCAGAGAGGCTCTCCTGAGAGGGTGACATTTGCACAAGACCTGAGAGGTGGCAGAGCTGGGGGAGGACCCAGGCTCAGGCCCCAGTCTTCCCCCCACCTGCCAGGAGCTGTGCTGTTGCTCTCAGGGAAACTGCATTCCCCCTATGCTTGCTGAGCCTCCCAGAATCACTGGGTTTGGCCCACTCGGAGCTTTCCCTTCCCCAGCCTCTTTTACTCTCTCATCCCTCAGGACCCAGCTCACTCATAGTGGGGAGCAAAGGCTGCAGCAGTGCCCGAACCCGGGATTCTCAGACTGTGACCATCCACTCGGCACCCCCCGGAGTGCTTGTTGCCTCTTATGCCCATTTCTGCTCCTCCAGCGGCTGCAACAAGGCCCAGAATAGCAGTGTCCTGTTGAACTCCCTCCCTCACCCAGGTATGGCNCCTCCAGCGGCTGCAACAAGGCCCAGAATAGCAGTGTCCTGTTGAACTCCCTCCCTCACCCAGGTATGGCAGTCCAGAAAGCTGGGGGGGGGGGACCAGGGACATGAGGAGAAGTTGGACAGAGAGACTCAGAGATTCGGGCTCAAGGAGGGTGGTTGCAGCTGGAAGCAGAGCTGTGCACCCCAACCTTCTCTCTGCTTGCTCCCCAGCTTCTCCTGCCCCGGGAGACCTGCAGTGTCCTGCCTGTGTGGGATTCCATGGCTCATGTACTACAATTGTCACGTGCCCTAATGGCACCAGTCATTGTTACAGTGGTTCCATGCGCTTCATCGGAAGTGAGTGCTGAAGGCAGGTCCCAAGGATGAAGGGGTTGGGTGCCTGGATTCACTGGCCCTGAGGTGGGAGGGTGGTTGAGGCCCTGACTCATAGGCTTGACGGGGCTGGGGACCCAGATTCCTAAGTCTGAGGGAGGAAGGGCTTACGAGCCTGATCACCTGGTCTGAGGGGGGAGATGTAGGTAGGGTGGCATCTCCGGGTCCTAGGAATTGAAGTGTGCACTAGCTTGAGTCCTGTCTGATTTCATCTTCACTCTTCAGGTAAGCTGAGCGCCACAGTTAACATTCAGGGCTGCGTGGCCCATCGTTCCAGTTCCTTGCTGAACCGTACCAACAATATTGGGGACTTTAATGCATTGGAGAACTCTGGGAATGAAAATGAGCCTACCATCCAAGGCAGAGCTGGAGCTGCCCCTGCCCCCTACCTGGCTTGGGTGGTGGGGCTGGGGCTGTCCCTAGCCCTTTGGTGTGGGGTGCCCTCCCTGCTGGCTCCATTTCCCCATGAACCTTAGTCCCTGCTGACCCCCTAAACTCAAAACTCCCTTGACCTCATAACCAAACACTGAGTGATTTTCCCATCTTCTCCATGAATTCTCATCCTCACGCAACCCACACACCTTGTGACTGTTACCAACATATGGAGGAGCCTGGGAGCAGTTGAAGTTTCCCTGTGGGAGAGTGGACATTCAAGCAGTGGCCACGTGTGTGTGATGAATAAAGATATTGCCCTTTCTCCTAGTACTGGGGTTCCTGTATGGGAGGGGAGGGCGGGACACCCAGGAATCTGGCATGGAGGCTGCTGGGGGGACTCTGCAGAGAGATTCACCATCTCAAGCTCATCCTTCACTGGCCTGGTGTGTGTCTCCCATCGAGCTCGGGTGGTAGCAGAGCCTGCACGGAGCTGCTGCCAAAGGTCTTTGGGCATCGCCATGACCTGGGAGGTGAAGGTGCCCTTTGACCAATGAGGCTTCTACTTAGCAGTCAGGGTTCCGGCACAAACAGGGGGCTCATCTTACTTGAGCCACTTGACAAAAGGGTTTGTGTGAGTAGAGAAACAAGAGGGCATGCTCAGGTTCCTGAGGCTGATGTCATGGGGTTTGTTATCCTAGGCCTGAAAGGCTGAGGAGTCCTTACTGTCTCCAGAACCTGGAGAGAGGGAGCACGGAGGCGTAGAGGGGGCTGCCTGACAGGAGTGCTGATCTCAGGCTGGGTCACCCGTCCAGCCCACGCTGACACTACAGGGAGGGAGCTGGGGAGTTAGTCCCCCAGCCTCACTCAGTGTCCGCCCTCTGGTCTCCCATCGACTGAGCCCAGCTGGAAGGCAGGAGATCCCATGGACACTGTCCCTGCAGATCTGCATCCACAGCACAGAGCAGGGGGAGAAGGGGAGAGTGTGAATCTGGAAAAGGAAACAGAATGTCCAGCTCAGTCCTTGCCTTTCCTCCTCACATCCACCCTTTTCCTCTGTCCAGATGGAAATCAGAGTCCTCTGTGTAGAAGACACACACAATTCCCATCTGTGCCTTCATCCTAGTAATATGCTGTAAGGACAGCACGGCCATACTCCCAGGGTCAGAGGACCAGTTCTTCTCATACCACAGTGAGAGGAAAAGGGGGAGGGAACATAAACAAAGCTGCGAAGGTCCTGGCAGTGCAGCCCGTGGTAGTCAGAGCAGCCCGTGGTAGTCAGAGCTGTCTTCTTCCATCACCTGTCCCACATTCTCTCACCACCTACCCACACCTGCTCTGGACAATTGTGAGATGCAAATCTTCATTCTTTTGGGACGTGAGTGTCTGATGGTCATGACTCTATTGAGTTTCTGTAATTTTCCACTGAACAGGGCCACTGGCCAATGAGATAAGATGTACCCCCAACAAATCTCCTGCCTTCCAAACATTGTGCCCCTGGACCCAGCTACCTGACCTTCTACTCTGGTAGTCGCCTTCCTTCTGGGAATTAGCAGAGACCCAGTTCTTGGCTTGTTTCAGCAGCAGGAGGAGCACAAATTGGCCAGGGGTCGTCGTGGCCTCCACGCCAGTAGAATGAGATGGGATTCCTCACGCACATGCACATAAACCCGGTCTGCCCTTTCTCTCCTCTGTAAACAGATCACCTGGTATCCCCATGAGCCGATAGGTGTGGGTGGAGGCAGGCGCTGGAGGAGCAGGTGCCGTGGGCATCTGAGCCCTCTCCTGGGGTGTTCGCCTGAGCCATTTATTTCTTCTTAAGCCTGATCCCATGCACACCTGTTTCATCTGTTTTGGATGCTGCTGTACATGCCCAATACCATGCTTTGGTGGCTCAGACAGCGCCCAGTATGTGATATGCAGTTCAGGTCCCAATGCTCTTGCTGTCTTGAGGTTAGAATTTCAGGCTCTACTGGGACCCAATAGTAATACTTCAGGAGCCACTTTCCAAATGGAGGACAGTTATCTACAGAAGAGACACACCTTTGCTCTAAAACCCTGAAGTTTTGCCCTGTGATTATCCAATTATCTCTTTATGTCATAGAAACTTTCAACGACATTGGGTCTGTTGTGTCATATGGCCTGAGGCTCAGACAGCTGGGTTTCTAGCCTGAACCTTCATCAGAGCCATTTCCTGCTTTAGGAGCCACTGAAAACTGGCCATCCTATGGAGTCCCTCAGAAATGAGCAGGCGCAGCATATCAAACTGTGCTGCAGCCTTTTACTTTGTTGCATCCGAGAGAGCAAGATAGAGTCACCAGCAGCTCTATTGGAGCTGTCCAAGAAAATTCGGCCAGGGTTCTGGCTCTTGCTGCATCTGCTCAAACCTGCACCACCTGATCTGGAAATATGGCCTCAGTGTGTGTCACCAGTGTTTCCATCAGTACGTGAAGGCTATAGGCTTAATTAAATTGGACTAAATGAACTTCCATGAATGAATCGAAGAATGCGGCAGAAACAATGCCAGCTCTTTGTACACAAAATAAAAAAAGACTTCAATTACTAGTGTTTTAATGTGAATGTCATAGTCGTGTGATTATAGAAACCTCTTTAAAATGTACCATTATTTAATATCTTTTCAGTGGATTCATCTTCAAAATTTGTGGCTTATTTCCCCCCAGCTATATAAAAGTATTCAAGCTGAAAAAAAAAACAATGTACTACGTTTCCCCGCCAAAAAAATCCTAAGAGACTCAAGTCTTTTCTCAAGGTGTAGCAAATTATCTCTCAGTTTAGAAGGAATAGTGGGACATGCCCCAGACCTATAGGAGTTACATCAGGGTGATGGGTGCTGGACATTGCAGTTTCTTTCCCACCCCCCGGCCCTGTCTTACTCCTGAAACATCAAGGATCCTTGCTACATCTTGTCCACTGTGTCTGATTAAATAACATAAATTCATCAGTGAAATGTGATGTTCTGTAGAAAATCAGATGGTCAAGATCCCTCTGGACCATGTTATAGAAGAGAGGACCAAGCCATCCGGCCAGAAAGTGAAGGTATACTCTTGCGCCTGAAATATGAACATAAATGATGATTTCTGCCAATAAATATAGAAAAATGAATTGTTCGATCTGTTGCTGTATATTCAGGGTTTATAAGAAACCACGTCTAGGGCCGGCCGAGTGGC